ACACACACACACACACACACACACACACACACACACACACACACCCGGCCCCGTGTTGAAATTGGCAGGACGGAAGCATAAGGAGGTTCTTAAAGAGACAGAGGCCAATTTCAAGGCGTTTAGAAACAGATAAGATGAGAAGACAAGTTTATTTTCTATTTAAACACAAAAACAGCATTTTAACAACAACTAAACGTGACATTGTTACTTTATTATGGTATAGAATGTAAACACATGTCCGACAAACACATAATAATGCCCCTTTAATAATATTTTACTAGGCAAATCCTAACTAAAATAATGTGTTTAAAAATTATTTAAAAAAAAACAGTTTTGTCCCATATTTATATTTGACTTTTTTTTTTTACTTAAAATGGAAACAATTTCCCAGGGGTGCTGGWTGTGTTGCTAGGAAACAAACGGGAGATTGTAATCACTAAGTGTCTGAGAGGCCATCAAACATGCTCTTGCTGTAAAGAGCTGATGGAGGCCACTGCAGCCACTTGACTGATGCTCATCCAATTCTACTTGATTTTAAGTAGGTGCAGCTTGCTCATGATGTTAGTGTGTTTGCGACTTAAAGCCTGAGAGGCACAAGGTGTTTTGACATTTTGGATTTTTTTTATGACAAATTTGATTTTATTTGTACTATGCAGAGCTTTTTTTTTTTTTCTTTAGTGGTGTCTGAGCAGTCAAACACATCGACGAACTGTCAGGATCGATCCACTCACAGTTCCCAGCCAATATTTCATACCAGCTTTKCTTTCCTTTTCTGGCTTTTTACATTTTCTCCACTAAGAAGCTCGTCTGTTTCTTTCTGCCACACTAACTCTTTAATTTAACTGCTAAGCAGCATTTCCAAAATGCAAATACTCACTAAGTTGTACATTTCTGTTGGATCTTCTCCTCAGTTTGGCGGTGGACGGTGCCGGACTGATGAAGCACTGCTGCAAAGGGTTCTGCATCGATGTCCTGAAGCGTCTGGCTAAGATTGTGGGCTTCACCTACGACCTTTATTTAGTGACAAATGGCAGGCATGGGAAGAACATTGATGGGGAGTGGAACGGCATGGTTGGAGAGGTGAGGCACATAGTGCTACCTAAATGTAATGTAAACAGRGATGGGCAACTTAAATGATGGAAGGGCTGAAAAAATTTTGTTGACACTACCGGAGGGCCACATGGCTCTGCACACTTCCCCAAATRTAACAAAACTGACATTTTAAAAATGTTTGTGTTTATATATGTTTATTTAACCAAGATGCAGTGCAACTTTACATATTTTATGTTCAAATGCATCATTATTTGTTTAATAAATATGACACTTTTGAAGCAAACAAAACATAAACACTTACTTTAGTGAGCTGAATTTCAATAAGACACTTTAAGTGCAAACTGTGTGGTTCTGGTAAAAAGTAATTAATGTTTATGCAACTTCAGTTCTCATATTTAGCTTTGTGCAGCGTGTTGTAGTGGTGACTTACATTTAAAACCTTTATGGTAGTGCTCCTAAGCAGACTAAACACTTAGATTTCAATTTTAAATTCTGTGAACAGAGATCCCCCCCAAAAAAAGTTTATTATTTTATGCTACTTAAAAAGTCACTCAAAGCAGTTCTTCTTGTTGATTCTGAAGGCCCTGTCACACCACGACGTTTTAGACAACTTGCCAACTTGTGAAAATTTCAAAGACATCTACTCACAATCTCATCTACCTGCTCAGACTTATTTTGTTTTAATCTGCTCAGCTGCTGACCAAACACTCCTTTAACTGCATCGCATCTATCTGTTCACTGTTTTGCTCACATGGTGTTGCACATTACACAAATGCACACATGCTGTTTACATATTGCACAAATGCAAATGAACGCACCTTACTACATATCTGGAAAAATCACAGAACTGTCCTTTAAAATATTGTGTAGAAATCTATATTTCCATAGTAAACAAAATAAGACATTTATCCTATATCTTAAGAATTTATCAGTGTTGTTTAAATCAGCTGGTTGATTTTTATCTATTTTTTTAACTTCCAAGCAACAATGCATTAGACATGAATAATCCCACCACTACTTTTTTTTACTGCATGTTTGATACTAAAGACATCCCATTTTTTTGTCATATGTGACCTTTCTCTTACTGACAGGAATTTTATAAAATGGATTTATCAGAAAATCACTTTCAAACATTTATCACCGTATTTTTTCTGATAAAAGACTTGTTTTTCTTCTTTCCTTTTGGCCCTTCTTGGTATCGTTAATAGCTTCATACGATGTCTTTTCAGAGACCTTTAATCTCAGTTGAATTTGGTTCTGAGAAAGCCATACTTTGCGCTTAACAACAATTTGATTTCTAACAATTGACATAAGATAACGTTCAGCTGAGATAATGGGGCAGATTCCTTTTTATAAAATGTAAAAAGGGAAAGGATGTAAGCTCATTTTCTTTAATACAGCACTGATGAGGCAATTAAGGGCACCAGGAAGTCTCCAGACTGTTGCTTCACATCTAAAAGAAATCTGACAATTCATAGAAATGGTTTATAATATTATCTAGTAGTTTATTCACAAAAAAACATATTTTGCTCTATCCTCATTTGAAAGTAAAGGACAAAACTATAAAGCGGTTTTATTGACAAACAACATTTCACAAATGYAGTTTCCTCCTGTTTTAACTGCACAGAAAACTAACTTCACAGCACAGGCTAATGCTGCTGCTAATCACTGCTTGACTCATCGATGCTTTGCTTCAGGGCACTGTTTTAACATTAAAGCTTAGCCCCGCGCGCATTGCTGCAACAGTTCTTTATTTTCTTGCAACAGCTCATCAATATGGCAATTCAGTCTTCTCTCTAATCAGGGTTGAGGATGCAGGAACACTGACGCTCAGCAGCACGTCCTCTCTTCGCCTTCTCTCTGTTAATTGTGGGTGAGAACGTGCTGCGATTGGCTAAAAGCCTTCGTGTTTTGGAGCTGGACTTCAACTCAACCCTGCATCTGATTGTATTACTAATTTCATTTTTGGCCCAGGCGAAGCCTGATGGATGCCAGTTAAAAAAGTAGTTTTCTATTTTGCACCGAGTCATAACTGGAGGAATGAATGTTGTTGCTGTGTCACGCTCGCTGGATCTGCTGTCAGTGTGTGCATGTGGTTTCTGGTTTTGTGTGTCAGAAGGGTGTTTGGGATGCAGGTGGCTTCTTTTCCTCCCTGCCTGTGTCTGCCTCTCTCCTCAAATCCCCAGCTGCTTCCAGTCCTGCTTCTCCCTGTAACTCATTAAGTTGCTTAATTACAGTGTCAGACAAACACATGTGCACAAGGGCAGCCGAGTGTGTTGGAAAACTCAGTACGTCTGATCCTTAGCAAACTTCTTTAAGTAATATACAAAAAAATATGCAAATGAAAAAAGAGCCTAGAATCTATTTTGTGCCATAGTTTTAAACTAAAACCAACTTATTATGAGAACAGAGTTACACCTTTCTTAATCAAACCCTGTAACAATCCTATTTGTGATATTATGAGACATGTTAGCACTGAAAACATATGAAGATGACTTTGGCTACCATTACAAAATCTATCGCAATAACGTCAGTTAGCTGTAGCARTTGGGCTGCACATTATTGCTGGGTTGCAGTCAATATTTTTTTCTGCTTGGCCTTCAGATTAGCATGGCATGCTTTCGCTCTCTGATATGCAAGCACCACTTTCCATCAAAGACATGGAAGTTCATTATTTGTTTGGATTATGATAACTGGATTCCTGCTGATCAGCRGAGGAGGGTTCCAGATTTATCGAAAAGTGAAAGCGACCCTGACAGTGGATYGGACCTTTGAAGAGCTGTCGGGTGCACTTGAAGGATTCTGCCGGTTTGGAAGCACACAGACGCTCAGCTGGGGAATATTTTGCAAASTGGATGTGATTCTGACGAGGATCACAGCTCAGGAGCGACACTTCGGCATGTATGGACTACATTCTGGGTGAGCTTCAATCGGTGTGAGACGAGRAAGACCCCAAATTCTGCTGATTAGCTTTTTTTTCACCACCTCAGAGTTTGCAGTAAAGACACTTCAAAAGCAGCAGGAATTTCAAGGCTGCTCYGTTCCAAAACAATTGGATTATGTATCTGGCTCCCAGCGGCACAGCCTTGAGCGCAGTGCTCATCTCAACCTCCACAGGATGAAATGTCAACTAAGAACTGGATTCGCTCCCACCCCCATCACCCACCCATGTTGGACCCAGCCTTGCAACCCAATTGCCTGAGAAGGAGGAAAATCTCTGAACTCTAGYGAACTGAGTAGAGACAATAACATCCTGTGACTCTGGACTCTGGATGGGCCCAGGGTTGGGCCTAGCATGGACCCCCCACCTCCCTCAATGTCACCTACTCCTCTGATCYCACCTCATTTTACCTCCCGTTTATGTGTTATCTGACCTAAGCCCCCCCAGCGCAACGGTGTTTGCTGCATGACCGGTTTCACCTGTTCCCCCATGTTTGTCTTGTATGTCTTCTTGAATGGGTGTTTCTTAACTGCCCCCTTCCCCCTTCCCTGAATGTACAGCACCTTGTGAATTCATTTCTGTGAAAGGCGCTATATAAATAAAAATTTACTTTACTTTACTTTACTTTACTTTACCCGGATGATGCTCAAAATTTAGATGGGGGCAGAAGAAATTTTCTCCTGTTCAAAACATGATGCAACACGATGACGATGCTCAAACAATATATCATTCAACTCTATTCCATGTGATTTTCATTAAAAGTCATTGAATGTTTCAAGAAATATTTTGCTAACAGAGTAAGGGTTAGAGTGCATGCCAAATTGTTGCACAATCTGTAGCTTGAAGCATCCGTTGARCTCAACTCTCAGCTGTGTCGGCACCATATTTGACCTCAATATCTGTAAAACTTTTAGCGGTTAGTGATTAAAAAATAATTCCTTAATTTTTTTTTCTATTTTAGTCCAGACTTTAATGTCCTTCGTCCTAAAAGGACATTTCTGTTGTTTCTTACCGTGACTCCGAGCTTTGCACTTTTTATCCTTTTTACGTGAGTGCCTCCAAGTCAGGCAGCAATTTCTAACATTCTTAACATTTCCTCACCCTCAGTGCTGAACCATCCTGTTAAAATCATTTTTATTCCCAGTATGAGGTCTTTGCAGCAACAAAGTACTTCCTGAACAGAAGTGTCACAGGTGTTGCTTTTAGGCCTGACTGGATTCAGTGATCAGAAATGACCTGTATATTCATATTATCTGGAAAAAAGTGGCTGATTTGATCTTGACAGACAGAGAGGCAACTAATGAAATGTTGTCAAATGTGTGAAACACTTTTTCATCAGATTCTTGTAGCGATTCTCTTTTATGTTTCTCCTGAGGCTTCAAAAGCGAGCTATTGATTTTGTTTCTAACAGTTCTCTTTTTTATCAATAAATTTTACAATTTTAGGAGTTTTTCTCGCTATGTTTCTAAAAAATCTTGTTTTTTTATGTCTTGTTTCAAAATCAAAAGTTTTAGGTGGGTGTAGGATTTAACCTTTTTAATGCCGGGACTGTCATTAAAGCACAAATGAAAATACAAAAAAAAATACATACAGAGGAAGCAATTACATTTATTTTATTTATATAAACACCAGTTCTAAACAAATTATCTCAGTGTACCAAGTCAAAATCACATCAAATTACAGAGATTTCAATACAGTTCAAAACRCGTCACAATCAAATCTAATTTCAGGAAAGAACAATGAAACAAAGATGTACAAACATGTTTATTTTTATTTATTTTTTGTAGCAAGGCATTGCTTTATTTAATGGTTTAGTGCTCTGTTGTAGCTAGATGCAAAAAAAAAACATTAAAAGAAACATATTTGATTCCATTTTTTTGGTGAATTTTTTGTCACTTCAACCTTGTATCACTTTTATAGGAACAGAAATGTCTTTTTTCATCAATAAGAGCAGCAGCTTTGTTTTATTGGAGGTTTATAAAACTTATTTGCCTATTTAAATTCTAAAAGTTGACAAAGTTTTATTCTGCAGGTAGAAGATGTTCAAGTTTACTTTATTGTTCACCTTTTGGAGAAGTGTCGAAACAAGCAAAAAACTCAACTGGCAGTTTGCTGTGAAGATGCCAACAAAAAACAAACAAACAAAAACAAAAAAAAGAAACGTTTAAAGACTTAAAGATTGATGTTAAAAGGATTTCAGTGGTGTCTGCTGAGAAACTGCAGAGTCTTTATTCTTCCACAGAGCCTTTGTGCCGAGCTGTAGCAGAATAATGAACTTCTRGTCAGCGTCCAGCTCTTCTAACCTTCACAGTCCCTCGGTTGCCGTCATGTAGCCTCTGTTTCCTGCCAGGTGAAACATGAAAGAGCTGYGAATTTCCTCATTTCTTCACCTGCTGACCACCTGAGCCACAATTACTGCAGCCAGAGGAGGTTTGAGGAGGAACACAGCACTGGTTTGTGCTGGAAGAAGTAAAGAGAAAAAAAAATGAACCTCTTTTTAGATTTATCCAATTTATTTAAAACAAATGAGTGGCTACAAAATCCTAATGTTTTGTAGAAATGTGTTGAGTTTAACTGATATAAGCTTAATGCAAAGGTTTTACTGTGAAGTACAATTATTTTCATTTTTGCCTCTGAATACTGTTTTTACATGTTTTTACTTTCAGCAAATCACCTGATGAATCACTAAATTGATGTGAATGATAACCTCAGGAAGTAATCAATGAGTTGTCTGTTTTTGAGTCAATCAAGTTTAAAACAGATTTAAAAAAACATAACATGAAAAAATAAAATTTACAGATAATCCTGCAGATATTAAAATGAATATGTCACTTTATTTTGCCGATAAATGCATTTTGTTGTGTGCTTGGAGTTTGAACAAGTCTTCTTTTGTTGACATCTTTTATATTATGTAAATAAAAATTTCCTTGCTGCTAGATAGACGTTACCTTTGCTATCAAAATAGAATGGACTGGTCTGAAAACTAGAGTGTGTAGCGCCTAATTTCAATTTAAAGAGACAGTCTCAAATCGAGTTGATCTGAGACAAAGGGGTGGGACTTGTGGAGTTACAATAAGGAGAAATTCAAACCAAAGCATTGCAGTTCCACTTTACATCTTCTTGCCTACTGATGGTGGTCAGAGGGTCTGGTGGCGCCGGTGCATGGCACCCCCACCTCTGTCGGTGTGCCCCAGGGCAGCTGTGGCTACAATGTAGCTTACCACCATCAGTGTGTGAATGGGTGTGTGAACGTGTAAAGCACGTTGGGCTCCAGTGGGATTGATAAAGCGCTCTATAAGTGCAGACCACTTCCATTCTATAGAGCTGAACTGAAGTTTTAGATTTTAGATGTGGAAAAGAAGGATTTAAAATCAGGATATTTCTCCTTTAAATGAAAATTTGGTGTGGTGCTTACTGCCTGGCAATCCCAAAACAAACTCCAAACACTAATAGATCATGCGATGTACTGTAGTTCTATGATATTACTGCATGAGATCATGCATACTGCTATTCTCAGTGTTTGAATATAAGAGCTATGTAAGACCTCATTTTGTAATAACAACACATTATGTAATAATGTAATAAAATCAGGCTTCAAAATGTAATAAACTTGTGCTAAAACTGCATTAAACGTCTTCAGCGCATTTTGTAATACTCTCAGCYRCATTATGTAATAACGTTGTTACATTTTGTGGCAATTGTTACTGAATGTGGTGGTGTAATATTCTGGTGCATTATGTAATAAACAATCAAAAACCAGTATTTCTAACAATTGCTGCAAAATGTAATGACATTATTACATATAGCAGCTGAGATTACTACAAAATGCGTTGAAGACTTTTATTACCTTTTGTCAATTTTTACATAATGTGGTTTTAGCGTGAGTTTGTTACATTTTGAAGCCCAATTTTGTTACATTATTACATAATGTGTTATTACAAAATGAGGTCTTACAAGCTATGACATCATTTCTCAACAAAATATGATCTTATTTTGAAACTTGAAGCTCAAGCTTTGGTTTATTAATGATTATTTTGACTCATCATTGCGTCTTTTTAATCATTTACTCCAACAGGGTTTTGTGTTGTTGTTTTGAACAATGTAATTCCTGCTGTCTGTACTCCAGGTGGTGTCCAACAGGGCAGACATGGCCATCGGTTCGCTCACCATTAACGAGGAGAGGTCAGCGGTCGTTGAGTTCTCTGTTCCCTTTGTGGAGACCGGCATCAGTGTAATGGTTTCTCGTAGTAATGGCACAGTTTCACCTTCTGCTTTCCTGGGTAAGTTTGACTAACTTTTTTACTTGTGCCATTATTTTATAAATAATGTCCAACACCAAGAACACAGAAACATTTGGATATCACTGTTATTCATCTGTTTAATCTGTCAGCTTCACTGGAAAGTACAGTAGACCATGACTCAAAATAAAAGTCATTGCATCTGCATTAATCTTCATTAAGCTGTGCAATTTATCATGCATCCCTATATATGATTTATAAGAATTATTTTAGAATTTGCAACTAAAAATCTATTCATTTAGGTAAGATATTTACTACACTCAGTTATAACAAGCAAAGGCAAAACCTGACGTCTCATCTTGCAATTAATTTCCCCCTAAATGTGCAGATAAATGACTGTAACTTATTGTTTAGTGCTCCTGTGCACTGCAGTATGTTGCAACTTGTCATATGTTCTATTCGTTACTACCGATGCACATTTTCCTGTCTTTAATTTATCATGAGGATGAAAGCTTGTGAAGCTTCTGAAGGTGTAGCTGTGCACAGGCAGCGGTGACATTTCCGCACAGCGTCRAACAGTGTGCTGGTGGAAGTAATTCCTCAATTATGTCTTCACTTCTGACAAGCTTTTGTCTCCCACTTAATAAGTTTAACTCCTGGCATTGTTGCTCAAAGTAAAGCTGGCAGTGCAGACGTAGGAAATGATTTCCACGGTACTAGAATGAGCTGGCCTTTTCTAAGAAAAAAAAACACCTATTAAATAAGAAACCTTCTCAGATTATTCCCATACATGTCAAAGTATTAAAATAAAAAATATGAGTGAAGGAGAAAGCTAAAGACAGATAAATTAAATAAAAAAATAAGGAAGTTATTTTTAAAAGCATGTATAAAAAAATTTGCACAATCCCATGTAGATCCAACAAAATGTTTGAGAAGTGAACTGAACTTAGAGCGCTTTATCAAGTCCCTCCAGACCCCAAAGTGATTTACACTTACATACATTCACCCATTCACACACTGATGGTGGTAAGCTACATTGTAGCCACAGCCGCCCTATGTTTCTACTTGCTCAAAGCAAGGCTATTCAACTAAATTGCTCCGGGGGCCACAGTTACTGAAGGCCAACAGCAAAAGGGGCCAAACATCCAGCAATTTAAGACATTATGTAACTAAACCAAGTGTTACAAAGATCTCTTACCTTGGAAATAATTTATTTTGCTGCATTTAATTATGAATACAACATACAAACCCCTATATAATAACAGTAGTGATAATAAAAAAAACATTAAAATCAAAAATAACACATTGGGCCTCATGCGAGAACATGTTCGTATTTTTATCCTAAATTTCTCTTACTTTTGTTCGTACAAAGGGTTCGTACGAACATGTCACGTCAGATTCAACAAACACTTCTATCTTCAGGAAATGTGCGTAAATGAACTGCGTAAATTTCCACCTTTTCTATCCAGCTGCACGTGCACGCGAGAGGAGATTAGCATAATTACCACCCCAAATACACCATATAAGGCTATGTTTCCTGCCTCAGATATCAGGAAGTGTTCATTCATGAAAAATGGCAGCGAAAACTTAAAAGAAAAACTTTACGAGTTCAGAGATTGAAGTCCGTCTGTCAGAGATCCAGTAAAGAAAATCTATCATTTTTAGCAGCTCAGCTGTGGGATAAAAAGAGCTGCTAAAAGTATAAACAACTGTGTTAAATCATTTTCATTTATTCAGAAGACACAGCGCAGCGCTGCGCACCGTACCACCCCCCCAGCGCGCTGCGCGGCGCAGGTGGTCTCAGATGCGGGTCTGAAATAAGCATTTTAAAATGTTTTTAAAATAAGTCTGGCACTTTGGAGAAAATCCTGGACTTGATCTTGTATCCCCTCTGGTCTGGGAACGTCTTGAGTCCCCCAGGACGAGCTGGAAGCTGTAGCAGGGGAGAGGGGAGAGGGGGGTCTCTCTGCTGCTGCCCCCGCACCCGATCCCGGATAGGCTGCGGAAAATGGACGAACGGACAATTTATATTGTTAGTCTAAATTATTACATTTAAAATTATAACTCTAATTCAAGCAGAATAGCCTATTGTCAACATAATTATGGAGTGTAATTTATTTTCAACTCAAAATATCTTCAAACTAACGAAATATAAAGTTATTAGCGAAGAAAACCCGTCTGGATAACAGCAGACTGACTGCTCATAAAATATACGACAGGTCTGGACCACTCGTAAATTTTGTTCGTATCTGAAAAAAATCTTAGAATACGAAAACATTGATGAATGCCACAAATTCTCCTAAATCACTCGTACGCACAATTTAAGAACAAATCTGTGCGTATGAACGGTTTTTGCATGAGGCCCAATGTGCCTCCTATTTAACACAAATAGTATTTTGACATCTGAGTTTCCACATTTTTAAATTTTATTTTAGCTTTCATAGTTTTATCTTCACCTTCTTGTAGTTTTAATTATTTTGGATGTTCATAGAAATGTTTTTTTTTACCAGCTTCAAGCTTACATTTCTGTACATATCACACATCTATGTCTAACTAGAAGAACTTACAGTAATTAAAGTAGAAAATCAGGGCTTTGGGCTGAAGAGATGAAGGAACTAATTGGTGGGCCAAACTYTGGTCACTCGCTGGCCGGRTGTGGCCCGCAGGCCACCAGTTKAATAGGCCTGACTTAAAGATTGTGTTGAGAAGGATTGTTTAGCTACTGGCACACTAATCCAAGCTCAGTGTCTTGACTGAAATCTAACAAGTTCTGTGTTGTCTAGSATGAATTAGGTGGCTGCCATCTCATAAAAAGGTGACTCTAAATAGTAATGAGTTTTATGTACATTCAGTGATTTTGAGAATTTCTTTACAATCTGAGTAAAAGGAAAGTGCTAAGCAGCTTTYGAAAACGAGCTCAGATGTTTTGACTTGTACATCTGCAGGTTGAGGGGCTTTTCTTTGTGTACGTGTGCGTTGTAAAGGCCAGATGAGACCATACCCTATAGTAAAAACAACTTGTTAAWACCGAGCCGTGTCTCCGGCGATTACTTTTAAAAACCCTCCATCTGTGAATTCTGTGCACACTCTGCTTCAGGAAACAGTCTGTTTATCAGCAAATTGTAAAAACAAAGACCATACATAAATCTCTGCGGTGCTAAGTACTTTACATAATTAGGTAGAGCTGCAGAAATGTTCTCTCATTATTTTATATCTTATAGTTTCTGTAATGTTCACTAAAAATAAGAAGAAGTGAATGTGTGCAGTTCTTTTAGGCGTATTAAATACTGGGCTACTTATGTTAAAAGTAACTTCTTTCACAATATAAATATTTAAAATCTAATTGTTTTTCTTTTTGGTCTTCTAACTCTTTTGCCTTTTAAAGGCCATCGTTTGAAACAGGTCTTCACCAACAGTCAACTTATCTCCTCATGGAGCTCATCTGTTTCAGTTATGCCTTTGGGCACCTTAAGTCATATGTTCAGAGGTGCAGTAGTACATCTATCCATCTGTCAGTAGAGATTTAGAAGACAATCTGAAACACGTCACGGTTGGGAGGAAGCGCGGGGCTCCCAAGGCTTTTTTTATCTTCTATTTTTCTGGGCCACGGGGCTAACGGTCCCTCCACACTGTGGCTTCGACTGTGTTAGCGGAGGCACGTGTGAATGCATTTTGTGAATGTATGAGGTGCTGACAGAGAAAATAAAAGAGGTAAGCAAGGCCAGGAAAAGTTGAGAGCAAATAGAAAGGACAGAGAGAGGTCAACAGTGAAAGAATCAATCATGTGAGAATAAAAAAAGAGCAGCGTGGAGAAACCCATTTTTTGCTCATGGAGGGAAGAAAGAAAAAAGACTGGTGATGCAAAAAAGGCGTTTAGTAACCAAAAGTAAGCAAATCCATTTTTACACAGGATAACTTCATAGTTTATTGATAAGTATCAAAGGTAAAGGACCAATGAAAGCAAGGAATAAATACAGATTTTGATTTTTTATCAAAATATGCAGCGTGAATCTTTTAATGCTGAAAATTTTCCAA